AAGCTCACTCATGTGATAGACTACAATCTCAATACAAATCAGTAAAATAAACATGAGATTGTAGTCCATCACTGGAGCAAGCTTGGAGCGGTGGCTACTTATATTCCCCATGGTCCCTGTGTGAGTTGTAGATTAACCACCATTCCAAGTTCACTCCCGTGACGGACTATAATCTCACTTCAAATTAGTATTACTATCTTAGATAAGTAAACATGAGATTGTTGTCCATCATGGATACAAGCTTGGAGCTGTGGCAACTTTACAATATGATACACAAACAAGATATATTTTTGTTAATAGTAAAAGGTACTTGAATGCATTTTTAAGGTTTAACTCCTGAGTTTAGTGTCACTTTAAGCTTACCCAGCTGTCAACATTCAAAATAATGGGAGTAGTTTGTAAGTGGTTAGTATGCAGTTTTTAAAAGTTTGGAAAGTCGTTCACTGCTGTTTCATTATTTCTTGTTTTCTAAGCCTTTGTCAGCATTTGAAAGGACTATTGGGCATAATATAGAGCCTTACTAAATGCTTAATATTGCTTGGAGACTAAATTTGTATTTCTAAGGACAGCTTAGTAGGTTTGTTATTGCTGAAGGGGTGTACTAGGCTGAAAGAGGTTTAGTATACAGTCTGTCCCTGTATAGGACATCCTAATAAGGTGATTTAAAAAAAAATATATTATATAAAACTCAGATTAAAGAGAACTTGTCAGACCAGCTGTTACCTGCCCCATCTTGCCCAGTTGTGAAGCATTGTGTAGTGTGTTGTACCTGCCTGAGAACTTGTACATTTCCAGGATGGTTACCAACCGTCTGACAGGTTTCGTATTAGGAAAATTGATAGGACTTTACAAAATAGCAAGTATGTAACATGGTAACATTGGCAGCTCACCAAATAATCTGATGTCTTGCCCTAACTTTAGAGAGCCATACAGTGCTCAAATTTAAGCTGTGGATGACCCTACCAGCACCACCCAGCACAACAAAAGTTGTCAGCCAAACAGTGACTGCAGGTGCATTCATTGTTCGTTTTATTCTAACAGTGGCAGGTGCCAGCTGTCTGAATACAATAGGCAGGGGAGATTTTGTTAGATTTTATTTGTTCATCCTGCAGGCTGAACATACTGTTGCAACAAAGGAAAAATAAAAAGGCTTATTGGAAATCCCTGTGTATGTGTTATTGTCCATTGTATAACGCTTTTATCTCATTGAACCTTTGTCCTATACCTGCTTTACCTATTTCTATCTTTATCTTCTGTACTCTGTGTTCTCCATCTCATAGATATTGTCATGTCTTTATTTATCTGAAGATTTCATGAAGGGATTAGGTTTATTGCATTAGAGTTTTGTGCCGTTTACTTTTATTACAGTTATTTGTACCATTTACTGCTCAAGTCATGGCATTTCTAATGTTCTGACTGGTTGCAATACTACGGGATGGCTAATTCAGTGATGCTGATGTGTAAAAAAAAAAACAAAATAGAAAAATGGAGGTGTCGTCAATAGCAACACATTTGTGTGCCTATATTTGTAATGTGTTAGGAAAACTGCAACTGTAATAAGATTGATGGAAAAAAAAAACGGTTTATGTTTTATCCTGTTGCTGTTGCAGGTCAACTGCTGAAATAAAATTGTTCATTTGTTCATTCTAGGGATGCACCGATACCGATATTAGTATTGGTATAGGTGCTAACACCGAGTATTTGGGTGAGTACTAGTACTCGCCCAAATGCTCTGATACTTACCCCCGATACTGGAACTTTCAGTCAGAGTGAGATTTCCTCTGACCGGCAGTGCCGCGAGGGGCTCTGGAGCTGGCTTCCCCGCCAATTAGTAAGTCGTGTGGCGGGTAATGACTCACCGCCCAGCTTCCTGATTGACCGGTTAAGCCTGATCCATGCTGATTGGCTGGGAGCTGGGAAGCATGGAGGTGGCCAAACAGCATGGAGCCAGCTTCCCGGGTGGGGGGTAAAGACCCACCTACTGGCTTCCTGGAGGTGGGTCTTTACCAGAAAGCCGGCTCCATGCTGATTGGCTGGGAAACTGGCTTTCCGGCCAATCAGCGTGGAGCCACCCAAGCAGCGTGGAGCTAGCTTCCCGGGCAATCAACAAGCCGGGCAGCGGGTAATGACATGGTGCCCGGCTTCCATGCTAGTGGAAGTACTGGTACTTGGTATCGGCGAGTCTCAAAAGATAAATATCGGTACACGTACTCAATATCGAAAAACCGGTATCGGTGCATCCCTGTCACAGCCGCTGGTTCCAAGTAGCTTGGTCAGGATCGCAACTGCGGATTCAAGGGATCGAGGTGTGACTAATGGGCGGCACTCAGTCAATGAACCCCAGGCGTCACTCTCTTGCAAAGACAGAGAGTTTGGGGTTCTTGCATCATTTGCCGGTTTTAACTAAAGAACACAAAAAAGGTAGCGTGAGTGGTACTCGGCCGTAACCCCAGGGAAGCCAGATGGTTCCTAAGTATATGGAGTGTACGTAGTTACAATGAGCAATCAGTCACCCCAATATAACTTCACAGATGTATATATATACGGTTGATATTTAGCACGGGTTATGAATCTCACAGTCCCTCTAGGTTAAGCGGGCTAGATACAACGTATGCAGATCTCAAGGCAGTATAACATAGGCAGTCCATAAGTTATGCACAACTCCCAATCTAGTAGAGGACGACCTCTAAGTCCCATATGATGGCTCAGAGAGCACTGAGAAGTACTTGCGCTTTTATGCACTGGTCTGCAGGGTGCTGGGCTCGTCCTCTTGGAGTAAGTGGAGGCAGGCTTCCTTGGAGCAAAAGGTCCTGGGGTTTGTTTGGGCTTGCGAACCCAATAGTGAACACCCTGCAGCGTTCACAGACAGTTTAAATAGGCCGCGGCCGTGACGTCATGCGGCCGCGGCGCACTTCCGCGTTCCAGCGTGGAGCGCATAGTACCTCCCCTAATGGGGGAGGGAACCCTCGGCGGCTTCCCTGTCTGGTGTGTCCCACGCTGGAACGCACACGGGACGTGGCACGGAGCCGAGGTACGTTACAATCCCTAGTTCATTCAAATATCATGAATATGACACTTTACCTAAGGAGTGTACAAGTAAATGTATTTAATTGAGTCTACTGTATCATGATATGGGTACTAATAAACACCATATAGGTATCAATGAACAGCTCGATAGAAGCAGGCAATGCCCCTGATTTTAAGCATAATTCACAATTATTGGATCCCCTCTGCTCTTCCCAAGACCTCCTGCTCCCTATCTCCCTTGTCAACTCCTCCCATGTTCGCCTCCAGGACTTTTCTAGGGTCTCTGCTATCCTTTGGAACTCCCTACTCCAATCTGTCCATCCATCTCCTACTCTGACTGCCTACTCTACCTGAAGCCTATTTCACCTCAACCTAACCACTGAACTATCACTTTCTCTAACAATTAATCCCCACTGAGCTACCACCTCTTATATGACTTGCCCCTCCCTTTTAGATTGTAAGCTCTCACGGGCAGGGCCCTCCTTACCAGTGGCGTCACGAGGGGGGTGCGGCCCGCCCCGGGTGACACCATTGGAGGGGTGGCATCAAAATGACTGGCAGTCATTTTGATGTCACCCCCCTCTGAAAAGTCGGGCGCTCGGTCATGGACCGAACGCCCGACAGTATCAGGAGAGAGAGGAGGGGACCCCGCGGCATACCTTATCCCACCGTGTGACTGTCACCTCCTCTCTCTGCCGGCGTCCATCACCAAGATGGCCGCCGGCAGGTATCAAAAGATCGCTGCGCGTGCGCTACATACGCACATCATTTTAAAGTTGAATCCACTGTAGTTCAATGTAGTGCTGTTTGACTCTTAAAAACGGGAACCTATTGGAACCACGGAAACCATTGGAACCATTAAAACATTTACCACCTGTTTGTAAAAGCTTAATGTAGCTGTTGTTATGGCTCTAGCTTTTTACTTGCATATACACAGTCGAAAATTGTCTGTAAGTATTACATGGGTCCAACACTTGTCATCTATACGGCATACATATTCTAAGATTTGAAATCTGGAAAAAAAAACATTCCATACATACAATACCAGTCCCCCCGAGGTTGGCATTGCCCTAACAAAAGGAATCACAATGACCTGGCTGGATTTTAAGATAGGGAAAAAAATAACTACTAGGCTGGTGCAAAGCAATACTAGACTTTCACACATTTCAAGTGCCTAAAGGAGTTATGATACACCTTGAGATAGAGGGTTTATGTTCATGGTAAGAGCAGCTAAGATGACCATGTGAACTAGGCATTGCATTCAATTCAAATAACTTCAAAGTTACAATTGTTAAAATACGCTTCAGCCCTGTGTTGACTCCTGACTCCTTACCCTTGATCTGCAATTTAATAAAATTTGTTAAAAAATCCAGCAGGATTATCTTTCTTATTTCATTTCCCTTGCTGATCTGCTATACACATGCATAGACATAATATATGGCTGGGCTAGCTATGGCCATAATAAAGTGTGGTTTCTACAATCACTTATATGCTTGAGGCCCTTATCATACCAATTAAATAAAGCTTATAAGAGGTTTTTTTGGTTGACTTTGGGTAGGGTTAGAACCAACTGTGGTCCCAGTGGAACAATTTCCAATTTCCCCTTGTATAATGTCCTGGTAACAACAGGAAGACAAACATCCCAAATGCTGATGAAGTCAGCAATAAGAATTTGACAGAGGTTCTAACCTATCCCTAGTCTCTAAATTAATTTTTTTAGCCAGAGCTGGGCCCTTATCAAATGCTGGAAATAATCACTGATTTTCATGGAAGTTGTCATTTAATATGTAATTTAACATGTGACCTTTACACAGTATGCCTTATAGGGAAAAACAATATTACTTAAAGCTTTAAAGTGACCAGCATCTCCTTTGTTAATGATTTTCTACCTTGAGGAATGAGCGAAGCTAAACTAAATCACACGTTTACAAGTGTCTCTCAGCAAGGTGACACCACTTAAGCTGCTGGCCACCTACAAAATTTGTTTTATTCAAGGTTTTCCAGACTGGATTGTGAATTTGTGACATCAAAGTTAATGACGTTCTGTCCTCTGGCTTTTAAACTGGAATTTAGCAGAAAAGTAACATTATTTTACTCAGCTTTGCCTGAGGAGCTTATATTCGATGGCTGGGTGCTACACGTTTACTGCATACCAGGATGAGACAGGTATGTTATGCATACACCATGTGTACTTTCTGATATATTTTATCTGTGCTATGCTTCTTTATCACTCATGGATTGGGTTTTTTTTTTACAAGTTTTGTTTCTTTTTTTATGACTGTCTAATTCTTTTTTTATGACATAACTAATAATATTAATATGTTGTATTTTATGATTTAATAGAGCTTTTGTTTTGGATATATTTTATGTCATACCTTCTGTTTTGTTGTATGGTATCACTTGAATATATATATCTATAGATATATAGATAGATATATATATATATATCTATCTATATATCTATAGATATATAGATATATAAATATTATTGCACAGCATTTGACTAGTGCACTATCTTTTACCAGTAGAAACACCAGCACCTGCAATTGTCCCCCATCTGTTTAATTGTAGGACATACTTCTGAACCTACCACAAGCCATTTGGAAAGATAAGAGTCTCAGGGACAGGGTTGTAACATACAAATCAACAGGACACCAACATAAACATAAAACTTCTGATTTTTGTCACTTATGATTGCCCAATGCTACCCATAAAACGAGCAAATAATCAAATATGTCACAGTATGAAATAAAAAAAAAAGTAATAAACAATATTTGTGTTTCAACTGCCATTGTAAGTAGTAAAAAAAAAAGTAAAAAAAAAAATATATTTTATAAGCATATTGAAATCCTGGACATTTTCTACTACGCTGGAAATATAGTCAACCTGCTGGACACTTTTAATTCCCATTCCGGTATTCATGTTTTGCACTTGGCTGTGTCAATAGTGGATCCCTATAGTTGTCAATTCTCTCAAATTCTTGATGGCCCTGGATACAACCCTGGGAAAATGCCCCCTTGGTTCTAGCACTGCTTGCTCTACTTTACAACTTCCCTCCACATACAATGGAGCACAAAAGAGAATTGTTAAACAGATAAGCCACAAAACCATATACTAAGGCTTTAAAAGTGCTTAGGCAGTTGGTATATATTAAAACAACGTATGTTTTATTTTATCCAGTTAAAATCATTAAATACAACTATATACATCACAAAGCAAAACAATAGAATTACAGTGCATCTTCATATTAACAAACGTTTTAGACAAACTATTAGCAGTTATTGCCGATACATAAGGCTTACTGTGCAGCCTTTACGCCTTTACATAGTTCCGTATCCATATCAACAAGATACAACACCAATGCAATTAACAACAATAATGGTTTATATTGAAGTCTCAACGCGTTTAACCCCACAAGGGCTTTTTCAGGAGGAAGACACTTGATTTGGCAAAGATGAGACCTGAGGCAGTTGTATTTCTGCACACAGTGGTGTCAGTCTAACACTGTGAATATGGTTATAGGAGGGGAAAACACAGTGCTGCTGCTCATTTTATATCAAGAGAACAGACTGGGGTGGGTCTTTGACCAAGCTGTACTGCTTAACTGCACTGGAGGTCAGAAATTTGGCAAAGCTGTCTGACATTGGTGAATGGTTCACAAAACTGGCTGAACAAATATAAAATCTCTTGGCAGGTAAAACAGGTCACAAATAAGTATTTCAACTTTGTATTTAGCTGTTGGCCTGGAGTTCAGCTTTAATGTTAATCACATAACTAGTACCCTAGCTACATTGCTACTGTTAGGTTAGACTGGTGTTACTTAATGACTAAATGGCTCAGATTTATATGGCAGTGTGCAAACTGTACATCACACATGTCACATGTTTATGGGACACATAGACAAAAAAAAGAAGAGAAGTGTTTAACCTGTAAGTAATAAACGGCTAACCTTTGTGCTACTGTCAGCAGTTGTTTCACTGAATGTCACTATTCCGCACATATGCATTAAGATGGCATTACTGTACACACAGCGAAACAGCCAACTTAGCCTTGTCAGCCATCCTTGTACAGTTTTTGTGGGGCTTGCTTTAGGCCTCAGTCACACCAGGCACAGTGTGCTCCAGCCCGATTCTGGCCAGAACGCACTTTATCGCATTGCGGCCGGCTCAGTATGTTGTGGGGCAGGAGGGGGCGTGACGTTCCATTGAACTGAATGGCACCGTAGCCACGCCCTCTGGCCGCAATGCGATTGGCCGCACGGGAACTCAAGGCACATTATGCCTCCAGTCCAGGTCTGAACAAAATGCTGCAACCACTTTGGATTGCAGTTGCCATGGTGCTGCACATGTGATCAGCTATGACACCAGCAATGTGTGGGCTTAAATGTTCAGTTGGGAGCTGAAATAAGTACACTGGCATCCATTACAGTGGGCATGCCTTGAAAGTAACTGTTTTGGGAGATTAAAATGTGTACCCATGAGGCTTCTTAAAGGTGACCTTTCAAAAGGGTTGTTGTCCTAGTAGAGTGGTACACAAAAATGCGGCAGACCTGATAGCTAAAAAAGTAATGTCCTTTGTCCAGGCGCCAGGCCATATCCAAGGATGTCTGGGAATGTCCCTAAACTATCTCATAGCGACAGGAACCTGCCCCTAATGCTAGGCCTATCTTAACCTTACCAATGGGTACCTGTCCCTCTCTGAAACTTTCCAACTTTGTGGGCACTCAGAAGTGATGCAGCATGGGCTATATGAAACCCGCTGTGTCAAAGATGGTTGCCCAAATATCGAGAGAACTAGAATCCAGGACAAAGATTCTATGTCAGGCTTCCCTAGCACCAGTAGTAAGCATCCACGGTCATCAGTGGTGACATATTGTTGCTTTACTCTCTTGACCTGTCAATCCTGTAACAAGTACAGGTGAGGCACTGGATTCATATATTCAGAAGATCCGTCGGAACATGATAAAACACAATGGCTGTGGTGAGGCTGTTCTCAACAAAAATGGGATGTCCCACTTGCACGGGAATACAGGATTGAAGATATGCACATATATACAGTCAAATGAGAGTACTAAACAAGACAAAATAAGAGTCCAAAAATGTTTAATAAAGAAACAGGTTCATGAACAACAGCAAAGAACAGCCAATGCATATCACTGTTATTAAACCCTACACAGCAATTAATTAACCCCTGGTGATTTGTGCAAGTTTTTGAGTCTATAATACTACCCATCATGTTTAAACCCTGAAGGGGGATGCTTAAAAACCCCAAAACGCATTGGCTGTGCTTTGCTATCGTTTATGAACCCAATCCATTATTAAATGTTTTTGGACTCTCATACTGTCTTGTTTGGTGTTCTCATTGGACTTTAAATGTGCATTGACCTGTTAATCTAACAGACTGGCATCATCAACACCTGCCTACATACTACAAATCTGCAGGTCATATTGGGATTAGGTCATTGAAATATTCATAGAAAATACCCTCCTGACTTTTGTGACTTTTTTGTTAACCTTATAGTACGCCATAGAAGAATTTGAATCATGGCCAACAAACTGGCAAACACAGTAACCCTGTGCAATGAATGCATGTTTTATGTGACACCAGCTGTTGTTACCAGAATGATGACATCAAGTCCTCCTCTTTTTCAAATGTTGGAAGGTTTATTCTCATATTTGTATTCAAACACAAACATTTGTACAGTTTTTATCTTTCCAATAAGATGAAGTCAGACATTATTTTATGTATTTCGGCTCTTAAAATTTATAACAGGATATTAATGTACATGCAGCTGGCAGGTTTTTTCTAGTTGAACTGGTTCAGAAAATTAAAAAAGAATAAGTCATGAAGTAAAGCAAGCATATTAACCTCGTATGTACATTTATACTTCTGCTAACAACTGGTTGTTATAGTATATCTTCTTTCAGTGTAGACACATTGCATCCGAATACAGCTAGTTATTTTTATTGTATCATTACTACTTCTGAAGTTTCCTTATGAAGATGCTTATATTACCTGGCTGTCATGCTTACCCTTTTGCTTGTCTCAGCTCAGTGACTCAGTATGTACAGAAGGTAGCATGTCAGCATATTTGTTAGCCAACTAGCATTTTTAGAAGGTGGTCAGCAATGGCAGCCCCCAAATCACTATCATCATGAGTTAACTTTAATTTTTTGTAAAGAATAACAATCTCAGTTGTCCCTCCAGCTCTCATTGTTAGAGACTGGCACAACTGTATTGCCTTGGTATATAGCTTTTCTACCTTGGTATAAAGAGTGGTGGCAGTAGAGTATTGCTTCCTGAAAGTGAATTCTTAAATACTAAAGGGAGATGTAGTACACCAACTGTGGCTTTGGTGTACCAGCAGGGGGTGGGGAGGAACAATAGAGCCCATCCGGGGAGAGGGGGGAGGGGCAGTGCTCTGTGGAGGGGGGAGGAAACAATAGTGCCCAGTGGATGCGTAGGGGAAAAATAGTGTCCAGTGAAGGGGTTGGAAGGAACAATAGTACCCATTGGAGGGGTGGGGGAACAATAGTGCCCAGTAAAGGAGTGGGGGAACAATAGTGCCCAGTAAAGGAGTGGGGGAACAATAGTGTCCAGTAAAGGGGTTAGAAGTAACAATAGTGCCCAGCAGGGGAAGGGGGTAAGGAGGGAATAGTACCCATTGGAGGGGTGGGGGAACAACAGTGCCCAGTGAAGGGATGGAGAGGAACTATAGTGACCAATCAGACACCTTGTGTAGTGTCTATGTCTTACGTCGCCGCTCCCCTCCTCCTGCCGGCATTATACTGCTCCCTACACCAAACCGAATCTACAGAGAGCTGCAGCACATCCCAGGATGGCTAGGCCCACTGAATCTGGGACCGTTGGCAATATGATGCACCGAAAAGACCGGTGTGAATCCAGCCTAACAATTGGTGCTAGCAGGGTGTCTTGCTAACTAATGTCTGTATGTTTTTATAGCATAGTAACTTTAATTTTTTTTTTATTATTGAAATCACATATAACCCATCACTGAATGGCATTTGATATTTCAAGCACAGTGTATAATAAACAATTGCCATTTAAAAAAAAAAATGTAATACTTGTTTTTACCGTTTTTCATTCTTTGTTGCACCTTAGTGATACAAATCTCCTGCAGCCTCTTTGCATCTACTTCCCATCTA